ATCTCTGTATTATGTAACATATGGCGCTTTTCCACTACACAGTACCAGCTCGCCTCGGCTCGGCTTGGCTCGACTCGACTCGCCTTTGTTTGGTTTTCCACTGTGTAAAAGTTGTACCTGTACCTGCTTTCGGGTACTTTTTCTCGTACCACCTCCGGCGAGGTTCTAAGCGAGCTGAGGCGAGCTAAGCCGATACTAAAATGTGACGTGAAAACAATGCCGACTGCTGATTGGTCACAGAGAATCTGCGTCATCATTGCACGCGCCAGATGGAGTATCCAGAATAACAGTGGCGTAGGTTTGATTTTGAAATTGGTGGGGACGGGGACATCAATATATAACTATATTTTAAGTTTTGATCGAAATTATTGCTAGGGATATAGCAGTGTCACTGGAGATTGGTAGGGACACGTCCCCAGCGTCCCTACTAAATTCTACGCCCCTGCAGAATAACCCCGCCATTTTTAAATAGTTTGGCCAGAGATAGTTACTAAACTTACTACTATTATTATGGCAACTCGGAAGAATACGCCGTGGTCAAACGAGGAGGTGCAGACATTCCTTTGTTTGGTTGCCGAAGAAAGGATCCAGCGAGAGCTTGATGGGGCAACGAGGAACGAAATGCGTCGCTATGACGACCGGGTACTATTTGTGGCGGTACTTTCTGCAATGGAAAACGGAGCGAAAAGCGAGCCGAGTCGAGGCGAGCCAAGGCGAGTCGAGTCGAGTCGAGCTGGTACTGGTAATGGAAAAGCGCCAATACATAATCTATAATGTATGTTATATTTTGAGCCTTAATCAAAAATGTTCATTAACTTCAGCATTGCGTGATACTCAAAGTAATATCCGTAATTTTGACAGATAATAAATTGTACACGTGAAAACAAACCTGGAGAGACGTGAGGATTTGAGGAGAAAAACGAGATTCTTCGTGCATTCCAGTGAATTATTAATGGGATATATATCGTCAATCAAATCGGGAGAACACACCACAAATGTGCATATGGTGTCCTTTTTCATACTATTGAAGCGGAATGCAGAAAATAATCATCATGAGGAAAAGAAAGCAGCGACTGAAAAGAGCCATAGATGTTACGTTATGACGTCTGAAAATAAATCATGAAGGAAAATGGACCGCTCATCCAGTCAAACTGACGGATCAGCTTTATTTGAAGGACAATCTAATGATTTGAAGATATTCGTTTGAATGGAAGTTCCCCAAACTGGAAGTGCGACCCATTATTCAAAACGCAGTAAAATCATCAGGAGTTGCTACTTTGGACTTCCTTCAGTTCATTGTGTTCAGTTTCCCGCCACTCCTTGTTTCCATGGTGACGTCTTCATTCGTTCATGTGGTTCACCTGTGTGTTGTTAATCAGTGTCGTAAGCTCCCCTTGTTTTCCATGTATAGAAGCGCTCAGTTTCTGTCTGGTTTTGGTCAAGCTTTAGTTAACATATGTTTGTGGTATTTCTCTCCTTGTTGATTCTCCTGTTTACTGTTTAGATTGTTTTATTAAAAGTCTCCTTAAGATTTGTCGTTCACTTTAATTCAGCCACATCTTGTCAAGTCACCTTTATATAAGGCTTTTACCAATATAGATGTTTCACAGCAGCTTTACAGTGTTAACAGGAGATTACAGTAACAGAGATTGTTTGGCTTTACATCAGATCTAGAATAAAGTTATTGTCCTAAAGTTCATTTTGATTGATTCACTTCCGTTGCAAAGATCATTAGTTATTAACTTAGGGGCCGCTAACACAACACCGATCACACAGAAAACCCTTAGCGCTCCGGCTCGCTCACACAACAGTGTTGGTGCTCGAGAACCCAAACCTTGAAATGGGTTCCAAGGTCAAGCGGTGGAAACATTTTTAAAACGTTATATTCTCTCAAAAACGTGAAACGCTGACGGCGTGCACATGCGCATTACATGTTTAGTCTAAAGATATGCGCGTTTGAATATATATGTGCGCAGGCGTGTCTTTCTTTACAAATTGACCCTTAACAAATTAATTGTCTGGCCTTAAAAATTCATAATACATCATTTTTTGTTGTTTCCGCATGTCCATGTGAACTGGAATCATTCTGACAATGTTTTATCTGAACAGAGATGAAGGGAACGAGACCTTCACAGGGAGCAATAATAACAATAACTGATAAAATAACTGATCTCATGTCATCCAAAGGCAGAAATGTGTGTTAAGTGGGAATCTTCACTTCTGCACCCAGTCCCTCATTCTCTCTGAAGGCCTCAAACATCATTGTTTTAAGAGTTTCAACCCCAGTCTCTCCGTCCCCATTAAACCGGCTGTTAATGAATGATTTTACTGCCATATTTGTCTTGTTGAGCAAACTAAGCCCTCAGAATTGTTTCCACTGGAGGACTCTCTCCATCCGAATCTCTCCTCCGACACCGACTCCAGCGTTTACAATAGCGGCTGAGCTGTTTAATGTAGCGCTGGGAATTATGTGGTGGAATCGAGTGTTGTTTGACTTATGACTGACAGGCGAAGCGAGTAGTTTAGCTTTGGAGGACTTGAGTGACCACATCTGGACAGTGTTTCACACAGCTAGCGGACTCATGTGTTCATGCACATCAGCTTTGGGGAGAAGGTTGTGAACGATGCATTTCCTGATGATTCCCGTATTCAATCGGATGCAGAGTTGTGGGTTATGTGTCTTATCTTGAGTTATGTAATCGGATTACTTTTTCAAGTAACTAGTAAAGTAATGCATTACTTTTGAAATTTACAACAAAATATCTGAGTTACTTTTTCAAATAAGTAACGCAAGTTACTTTGTTTCAACATTTATTGACTGACAGCTGTCCTGTCCTCATGTTAAGACAACTCGAAATGCAGTGTGTGTGTGTGTGTGTAAACATGATGGTTCGGCCTATTGTAGTTCTAGACTAAATGTGAGCGTGCATTTACTCATCTCACTTGCACAAAAAAAAGATTCAATATTCCTCAAAATGAATAAAATCAGAATAGTATGCAAAACTCCACCAACTAAATATATTAAATAAAACATAATTTATGCATTTAATCTCACTTTATTGACCAGTGTACTTACTTCTGACCTTTCATGATTAAGTTAAACCATAAGCAAAAATTACTATAGATTTTTTGTTTTTCTTGGTAAAGTGTTGAACTTGTTTTTCCTGCATCTGTTCTTCTGTTATCCAGAACGGCTGAAAGGTTTGTTTGAGCGGCGCCCTCTACTGGACGTGTCAATTTTGGTGTGAAAGGGTCTTTACATTTGCCCAAAAATATAACTTTTTTTTGTTATTAAAAAACAAGCCCAGCCCAGGTGGAAAAAAAAGTAAGTAATGCAGTTACTTTTTAAGGGAGTAACACGATATTGTAATGCATTACTTTTCAGAGTAACTTTCCAGGTGAAAGTTGCATGCGGTGCGAACAGGAATCCCAACATGTCCTGATTATTCCCGTCTTCTGTTGGAGATAGTCAGACTGGGAAGTGCTTGGAGTTGCAAGTCATTGATGAATGAATGGGCAATGCATGTATTTCCAATACAGTTGACTCTCTCTGGCACACCGTGTCTCCAGAGACTGCCATTAGCTCATCCAGGCCGCATGTTTACAGCAGAATCACGTTTGCTCCCAGGAGAGCACATATGCCTTCAGTGGCGTCTCTGTCCCGGGAGAAGAGCACGCACCATCTGCTGGTAAACCTACACCCGGAGTAGAGCTGGAGTAGAGCTGGAGTAGAGCTGGGACAGTAATAGGCTATAGGTTAGCAAAAAAATGCAAAAGGACCAATGTCTGGTAAGGGTTCTCAATGTTGTTCTGAAAACTGTGTTAGATTGCATATACATGTCTATAAATCAATGCATTTTGCCTATAATTTTAATATTGCAGATAGATATTCCATGCTGTATTTATAATCTGAGCTCATAAAAATCTGTATGTATGATATTAGTTAATGGTAATATTTGTAGAATGTTGATTGATAGCATGAGGGACTGAAACCACAGACACATATTGACATGCCAACTTCCCATATGGTCTCTTACGGATATTGATTTATTTGATGAAATGGTTGTGAGGAGTTTTTCTAAATATCAAATGGCAGTGAAAAGTGTATAAATTATCAGGCTTTTATCAGGCTTTACAGAAATAGTTGCTACGGTTAATTTTACTAATGTGAAATCATAATCACTTTAATTTTTAATAACATTCCCAGAACACTATTAATACATCATTCATTGAAGGTTTATTCATGGAACATTGCGTTTGTCTCGAACGTTTTTTAAATGTTACTTGTTTCAGAACGTTCAGAGAACATTCAAAAGTAACATTTCCCATGTTTGAAGAATGATAAAATGGAACGTTTGATTAACGTATGGCCTTTTTTAAAAACGTTTTGAGCGTTTAGACAACATTCAGAAATGACGTTTTCATAACTCTCTTAGAACATATTTTTGTTTGCGGGGATAAAGGTATAGCTTCAAAAAGTGTACAAGATTTAAGAGGTTTGTTTGATGTTGCCTAGAGAGAGAGAGAGAGAGAGAGAGAGAGAGAGAGAGAGAGAGAGAGAGAGAGAGAGAGAGAGAGAGAGAGAGAGGATGAGATTCTCCGGTTGATCTGATCTGTTTGTGTGTGTGTGTGTGTGTGTGTGTGTGTGTGTGTGTGTGTGTGATTAGAGAGAGAGAGGGAGAGAGAGAGAGAGAGAGAGAGAGGAGAGAGAGAGAGAGAGAGAGAGAGAGAGAGAGAGAGAGAGAGAGAGAGAGAGAGAGAGAGAGAGAGAGAGAGAGAGGATGAGATTCTCCGGTTGATCTGATCTGTTTGTGTGTGTGTGTGTGTGTGTGTGTGTGTGTGTGTGTGTGTGTGTGTGTGTGATTAGAGAGAGAGAGGGAGAGAGAGAGAGAGAGAGAGAGAGAGAGAGAGAGAGAGAGAGAGAGAGAGAGAGAGAGAGAGAGAGAGAGAGTGTAGACGCTGTGGCTGGTAGTGGTGTGTGTGACTGAAGATCAAGAGAGAGAGATTGAGATTCTCCGGTTGATCTGATCTGTGTGTGTGTGTGTGTGTGTGTGTATCGGCGGAATGGAGGTCTATCCTCTCGACACTGAAGGGATGATGGAGGCTTGGCTCGACGACCACCGAGAGTTCGCACATTCTTACTTTGTACGCAAGGCTTCTCGGTAAGTTTAAAGGCGCAGATTGATAGACGAGCAGTTCTGGAATAATGAGACTGAATGTGGAGCAATACTCGCGCGCTGCTTATTCATATCATCATCGACACATGTATATTTAACTGTTTACCTTTGTAAAGAAAAGGGTCAGTATATATTTATTTTCCCGTGAACTCCTATGTAAACATAATGTGAAACTTGATTTATAATAGGAATCAAATCTGAGGTTTTGTGTGTAGTCTTTCATTCACATTGTAAGGTTGTTTAATGCTCTTTATTAACATCCTCAGCTTCGTAGAGTTGATATACACACAGCTACTGTAATGATCACACACTGTTTAACCAACAAACAAACAAATAAATGTGTGTACGTTTAATACTGATGTGATTGATATATTGTGTTGATGTCATAATTGCACTTTAATGCAGAGCTTAAACAAATAAGTTGCCATAACTGTGATGTTAGATGAATGCATTCACATGTCGGTGATTATTGTGTGTAGATTATTATGTAATGAAGAAGAAAAATATATATGAAAACAGCATAAAAAAATAAATAAAAACAAAACAATCCAAGCTAATAGGTATTTTATGAGTCACACATTTTCGTATGAACCAAATTCATATGAAATCTAAGATTTCATAGAAAAACGTGAGCATGAAGGATCTCCTCTCAGTGGGACGAAGGCAGATTGTCCACAAACATGAATGCATACAAATTAGCCATCAATTCACCAAAACATTAAAATAGTTACGAATTGCTTTGAGACTAGGGGTGTAACGATTCGGTGTGTATCACAGTTTATGTTCACGGTTTTGCTTCGGTTTCGGGTGTGTGCTGTGTTCAGGGAAAAAAGGACTACTGTCAAATAAAAATAAAGAAAATAAGAACAAATAATAAAACTACGAGTAACAGCACAAATAAATACAATAGAACAAAGATACTAATAAAATAATCAGTGCTTTTTAGAAATTGAATTACAGAAGTAATCAAATGTAAAATAACATTGCATTTTTAATCCTTATTAAAGTTACAAAAGCTGTTCAATCCAGAGCCGTGAGTGATTTCCTTGTCCTTTGATGTTTGATTACCATTAAAACACAGACAGCAGGAATATTAGGCCGCTGTCACTTTAAGATATATTGCACTGATCCAATACACTGATACACACACACATGCCTCGACTGCTTCATTCCCAGAAGACGTAACCCACTATATGTGCTAAAATTTGTCCATTCAAGTGTAAGACTTGATAGAAAATGTAATATTTGCGCGCTGTCTGACACGTGTGCACACTTCGGATGAGTACACACACACACACACACACACACAGCGCGCGCGAGTTCTCTTTCGCGTCTTGCTCTTGAATGTTTAAATTAGCAAAGCTTAAATGAGTTTAGATTAAACACAGATAGCAACGTGTGCAGTTCAGGCTTGAACGCTGGTCATGTTCGAGCAAACACACTCGCGTTGAACAAAGTTTACAAAGAGTGACTGTTTTGTTCACATTTTCTTGATTATCGCTGTTGTAATGTATTATTGGGGAGTCAGCATGTGCATCCATCGACAGAAACATTTACAACCCGAGACTGTTAAAAAAGTGTAGAAATTCAGTGTCGTTGTGTAGCTCTGCACTCGGAGGATCCCAACATATGGAAAAGGTCGCCAAAGTTATTGTTAAAAGTCAATTGTTTTATGAACCTGTCTGTGTTATGCTTATTATTTCTGGACCACTGAAAAAACAGCCCATGCAAATCCTAATTATTTGATTGGCTGGGATACTCTCGCATGGCACGAGTAACTTAGATGTTTATTAAATGGTTGGATGGTGTCTCTTCAAAACTGAATGCTATTTATTTAAACTATTCTAGCCAAGGACAATTTAGGTCGAGTCCATGGAGACTGTATCCTCTCCGGATAATAAACATTTCATTGAAAGTATTTGTTATGGTCTATTTTAATGCTTGCATTGTAATGTTAGCTTAAGAAAAGCCACTACATGGTGTTGTTTAGACAGATTTTGGATGTAATCCACCAGCTAATGTTATGATTGTGGGTCTTATAGACTCCAAAGTTTCCAGTTAATCTCAAAGTCCCATTTAACCGCTAATGAAAGCGTAGAGAATATTTAACATAGAACCTTTGTAACGGTTCATAGATACTGTAGGTCCAGCAAACTGGCAATAAATCCTTGAAAAACCTGAGCTGTTTTATCTTGCTAGGTCAACTATCAGTCGGAGATTTGACACAGATTCTCCAGCTGAGAACAGTGCTTTAGAATGACTTGAGAAAATTTACTGTTTTTGTATGACTAGGCTATTATCTAGTTGCTTTATCAAGATGAGCACCAGTTAACCTGACTTGTCTTAAAGGACTTTGACACTAGCGCCAAATATAAAATGCATGATTCAATTATTATTCTCATGCTAGGCACGATTCTGGATAAATTGAGAAGATTTTTTGGTAACACTTTACTTGAAGGGCTGTGCATAAGACTGACATGACACCTTCATAACCATGACATGACACATGTAATGAATATGAAGGAAGGTTTATGCATGTTTATGACAACTGTCATTAAGTGTCTTTCGCTCAATAATGACATTTTGAATGCAAATATGACATTGTTTAAGATGTCTTTGTTATGACAACTTGACATAAACCATAACATCATAACCTGTCAGTGTCTTTGTCATGACAACTTGACATTAAATTAAGTTAAACTGTCATGTGGTTGGTTTTGACATTGGCTGTCATGAGGCCATTATAACTGTGTCATGAATATGTTTCTTGACCTCAACTACAGTGGTACAAATTGAATTTGTCATTAAAAAGTTATAATGCCTCATGACACCAAATGTCAAAACCAACCACATGACAGTTTAATGTAATGTTAACCCATAAAGCTAAGTGCTTTCTTAAGATTGATAATTAATCTGCTATGTCATGTTTATGACAGGTTGTGTTGTCTTAGTAATGTCAAGTTGTCATAACAAAGACATCTCAAACAATGTCATATTTGCATTCAAAATGTCATAATTGAGCGAATGACACTTAATGACAGTTGTCACAAACACGCATAAAACTTCCTTCATATTCATAACATGTGTCATGTCATGATTATGAAGGTGTCATGTCAGTCTTATGCACTCCCCTTCAAGTAAAGTGTTACCGATTTTTTTTGTTTTGTTTAAAATAGACATAATGATTCTTCCACGGTTCTAGTTTTAGTTTCCTAGAGTTTCTGACAAAATGTTGATCGCTGCAGTCTATTTAAAAAAATGCTTAATTAATTTGAAATATTACAAAAAAATCAGGTTGAGTGAATGATTCAATGACTCACTCATAAAGACTTCACTTGTTTCATTACTGGATGAATCAGCGTTTTTGAACAAATCTCTTGAATGAATGATTCAATGACTCACTCATAAAGACTTCACTCGTTTCATTACTGGATGAATCAGCGTTTTTGAACGGATCTCTTGAATGAATGATTCAATGACTCACTCATAAAGACTTCACTCGTTTCATTACTGGATGAATCAGCTTTTTTGAACGAATCTCTTGAATGAACGATTCAATGACTTACTCATAAAGACTTCACTCGTTTCATTACTGGATGAATCAGCTTTTGTGAACGGATCTCTTGAATGAATGATTCAATGACTCACTCATAAAGACTTCACTCGTTTCATTACTGGATGAATCAGCGTTTTTGAACGGATCTCTTGAATGAATGATTCAATGACTCACTCATAAAGACTTCACTCGTTTCATTACTGGATGAATCAGCTTTTTTGAACGAATCTCTTGAATTAATGATTCAATGACTCACTCATAAAGACTTCACTCGTTTCATTACTGGATGAATCAGCGTTTTTGAACGGATCTCTTGAATGAATGATTCAATGACTCACTCATAAAGACTTCACTCGTTTCATTACTGGATGAATCAGCTTTTTTGAACGAATCTCTTGAATGAACAATTCAATGACTCACTCATAAAGACTTCACTCGTTTCATTACTGGATGAATCAGCTTTTTTGAACAAATCTCTTGAATGAATGATTCAATGACTCACTCATAAAGACTTCACTCGTTTCATTACTGGATGAATCAGTGTTTTTAAACTAATCTCTTGAATGAATGATTCAATGACAAACACATATTTTTAACAGTCACTTGGCGCCACCTACTGGTGTAACGATGTAATGATACAATCTTCATTTGAAGCGTCAAGTTACTTCTAAAAGTGAATTCCCTCTATTTTGATCTCTACCGTAGACATCAGTGTGTATATCCGAACTATATACTTTTAACCCAGTACTTCTGTGATCATTTGAATGATTATCTGAAATAATGATACCGTGTGGTTTGATGACAACGGCTCTCTCTGGATCAGAACGCAGATCTGAATCGGTTTGATCGTACTTGTCAGAGGTTTAATAGACATAGAAGAATCGTTGTCATAAGATCGCATGGGTGTTTGAATCAAGATTGGCATCTTTTAACAATTAATCGTGCAGCTCAAGGTTAAGAGACTTCTGAGCTAATGTTCTTGATTGCATTTCTTTTAAAGGGAAATGGTCAACGCTTGGTTTGCTGAGCGTGTCCACTCCATCCAGCCGGCCAGGGAAGCACCAAAAGCCCCGCAGGAATCTTTAACGGGCCTTCATCCAGCCGATGCCCCGAGTCCGGCTCCATCCACACCAACACGGAAGATCTCAGCGTCTGAGTTCGACAGGCCGCTTCGCCCCATTGTCGTGAAAGACGCCGAGGGTTCGCTCACTTTCCTAAGCGACGCAGAACGGGTTCAGATGCCTCCTCCTCCTTCCCAGCGCGCAGACGTGGGCGGAGGGATTATGCATTCTGGAGATCGCCAAAATGGTGATCGGTGTGCTCGTTTGTTGGACCTTGTACGCGACGTTTCAAGTCACTTGGATCTTACTGCCCTCTGCCACAAGATCTTCTTACACACTCACGAGTTGATCGCTGCAGATCGCTACTCGCTCTTCTTGGTTGGAGAGGACAGTTCGAACAGAAAGTTCCTGGTGAGCCGGCTCTTTGATGTCGCAGAAGGATCCACTCTTGAAGAGGCTTCAAACAGCGGCATTCGCCTCGAATGGAACAAAGGAATTGTGGGATATGTGGCGGCCACTGGACAGCCTCTGAACATCAAGAACGCATATGAGGTGAGAATGTCATTTCATCTGCGGTTTACCATTGAAGTGCTGACTATAAATGAGACAACCTAAATTGATTGAGAATTAACCGTCATTTGATGTTTAACATTTAAAGTCCTCTTGTAGTCAATAATTGTATCCCTTAAAACTCATCTTTGATCTGCCAATGACACATTTAAACGTTTTTACCTTGAAAAATGCCTTAAAATATCTTGAATGTAACTCGACACCTCATTTAGTATGCGCGGTTCTATGAATATGCAAATGAGCCCCGCCTCCACTCACTCCCTCAGCTCAGAGATCCACTGGTTGAGGATCACACGTTGATCTGATTGGTTACAAGGTCGTTTGTGACGTCAGAAACACCAGCGATTTCAAACCGTGTTTTTGAGACTGTCTTTGGTTCACTGCAGTTTTAAGGAGGAAATACTTAGCAATGCTGTCGACTTATGAACTTACACATGGTGTGTCTTAAAGCGTATTAATAACACCACATAGACGCATAAACAACATTAAAAGCTTGATTTTCAACACAGGGGGACTTTAAATGAGAATATAAATATAAATTATTGGTGGATATATCAGCAACAATATCATGAAAACAGCAAAGCTATTCTAGTAACAATGCTAGTCTTCTTCTTTATGTGTTCACAATGAAAAATGCCACTTATCCAGTACTAAAAATAGTATAAACACACTCTTGCTTGTATTTTAAGACGTGTGTCTAAATGAGATGGTCTAGTAAGAATAAGATAATGTCGCACTTTTAAGACAAAGTTGTTTTTCTTCCCTCAGACAAAAGTTAAAATGTACGTTTATCTCAGTGATCTCAGAAAGAATAGTTTGCACTGATAATGAGTCATATTTTAACAGATTAACGTCTCCTCTGATCTGACACTTCTATATTATTTTGTCATGTGCATATAAGAAAACTCTTCAGTTTGAGAGGCTTAAATAACATTTGCTGCTTTATAAAACCCTCCTAGTCAATAATAAAGTCTCCTTAGAAACGCAATTTAGGCTATATCTCTTAAGGCCTTTGATTAGATTTAAATTTTGTTACGCAATTCGGTTGCTAACCAACAGTTTGTATAATGATAGCAGGTATTTTTAGCTCTTTGTAATTTAGTTTAATTGCGTTTCTCCCAGGGAAAGGGAGAGAAAGAATGATTACGGTGAAGGTAAATCCTTAACCATGTTTGCCTGCGAGACTGTTTCATATAAAGATGCGAGGAATATTCCAGCTATCACCATTAGAATATAAGAACATGATGAAATCAGGAAATTGTGCCTTTAAAAGTTATTTGTCTTGATTACTTAAAGGTGAAGTATGTCATTTCTGCACCAAACAGAACTGCAGTGTCTCTGGTGTTGCAGGACCTGCCAAATCTGTAAATGTCGTAAATGAATCACTGGAGCCACAAGATATGAAGAAGAAAATGACGTCATGACAATGTTGATAGGAGAACCGACACACAGTCCCAAGGCCATGCTAACCAGACATATCATAGTCCTCAGTTTGAGCTAAACATAACATTGGATCAAACAATGCAGTGAAAATGACAGCATTTAGATTTTTGGGGTAGAAATGTTATATTATTACGCTTTTTTAAAGTCTCCTAGATTTGTTTTGGCGTCTCCTATAACAGGTTTACATTCATCCAAGGCCAAAAAACACTTTATTTTCCTCATAATGTACATTACAGCATCAGCTCTTTTCTCTCAGTGTCTGAAACGCTTCGTTCGAAGATTCAGTCTCTCTAAGCTCCGCCTCTCTGAGAGCTGCTCTGCTCTGATTGGTCAGAAAGCAAACGCTCATTATCATATGTGAATCTCAGCTCTTGATCACAGTGATACGAACAGTAACGATGGCGTGGGTTTCACCGTATCAATCTCAGAAAACAGCGTCTCCTCGACACGAACAACACGAGCCGAACTCTCCAGTCTCAGATTCACTACAGTGTTTGAGGGCGGAGCTAAGAGACGCTGCTCAGCCAATCAAGACCATAGACTGGAATTATGCAAATTAGCTAGAAACCTACATAGATTCATCAGGAAGTGAGACTGGAGTTACTGACGACTCGTTTCAACAGTTCAGAATCGCTTCTTTCTTTTAGGAGAAAATAAATGTATGATCTTTAAAGCTTTGCAGATGTTTTACATTCACAAACAGCTCTTTTACACACTGCGTGAAAGGTAATATTGGAAAAAGCACAATAGGGGCACTTTAAATTGAATAATTAAAACATGCATTGTCTTATTAAATGGGCAGCTGATTTTTAAAATGCTGATATTAATGTAAGCCAGGATAAATTAAGATGCCAAAATAAATTGGATTTGCGGTTGATTTTTCCCACTGTTTTTCCTGCATCAGGATCCACGCTTTAATGCAGAAGTCGACCAAATTACAGGATATAAGACGCAGAGCATCTTGTGTTTGCCCATCAAAAACCACCGAGATGAGGTAAGAGATCAAAAATCCCGAACTGTTACACTATATATGTAACATTTACTATCAAAGCTTGAGTGCTGAGTCGATGTAATGCTTAAAGGTTGTCGGTGTCGCACAAGCGATCAATAAAAGGTGTGGAGAGAACAGCAGCTTCACAGAGCAGGACGAGAGGGTGAACACTTTTTAATATCATAGTCATTTTATTGTTTCTGTCTCGTTCTGGCTCTATAATAATGGCTTTATTTTTCATCTCAAAAGGACTTTTCTTCGTACCTGTCTTTCTCTGGGATAGTGCTACACAACGCTCAACTCTATGAGACATCGCAGCTGGAGAACAGGCGAAACCAGGTGTGCTGATTTTCACACATTTTAGTAAGAAATCAGTTTGTATAGATGCGGATAAAGCGTGGCTTGGCGTGTTGTGTTGCAGGTGTTGCTGGATCTGGCGAGTCTGATCTTTGAGGAGCAACAGTCACTGGAGGTTTTGCTGAGGAAAACCGTGGCCACCATCTTGTCTTTCATGCAGGCTCAAGAATGCACCGTCTTCATTACTGACAGAGAAACGGCTGTAAGACCAAAATATTGCATCACGTTTACTTCCAAAAAGCATAAACTTTCAAAGAATTGGTGTGAGCATTAAACATGGGGGATATCAAGCATGTTTTGCATTTCTTTAGAAGACTAAAATCACGACAAGCTGAACTTTTCTGAATCTTGGGCTTAGAAACATTGAGAACAACTGAACTATGGGGTTGTTTAGAAGATTAAAATAGATATAATCATACAAAATCAAAATCTCTTTTATTTCGATTAATTTCAGAAATGACTAGTCTCTACAGAGCAACCCTTTCTTGTACATTTCCCCCCCAATAATATTATGTTTTGGTAATAGTTTGCCACTGCTAATATGCAGCATTTAGGCATTATAAAAGAGAGGCTGTGTTGGAGATTTCCATAACTGAGTGAGAGAGTTAAGAAGACACACTTGTCCTTTATGGCAGACTGAATTGCTTCCTTATTTGCCACTGACATTCACCTAATGTACCCAAAATACCAAATATTTTAAAATTACATCTGCATTTCCTGAAGGAAATACCAGTGCTTGCAGAGCAGGAAAACAATAGTGTTTTCAATCAGTTTTACAGCAGGTAATCTTAGGTTTCAGGCTTTCTGTGCTGCATCACAGTCTTAAACTTAGATATGTTTCCATTAAAATGTGCAAATTACCTAAAAATTGGAAAAAGCGAATAAAGCAGCGTTTCCATCCCATGTGTTCCAGAGAACAAAAGAGTCACAACCTAGGATATTGGTGCTCAATATCAGTATCGAGTGTGTGTCGAGCGTCAGACGAAACACAGTAAACGCTGTCGTGTTCTCTAGCGTTTGTGTTCGGGAACACACTCGTGTGTGTGTGTGAGACGCTTCTGGAGGGAATTACACCCACTCATTCTGAACACACACTTCGACTCCGGCGTTTCAGAAACACCAAACCAACATTAGAGACGCTGCGACGCCATTGGTCCGCTGGTTACTCCAGTTATCCAATCACAGTCGACGCTGAGGAAACATGAGTTTATTGAGGGATTTATTCAGTAAATGGCTGTGTCCGAAATCTCCACTCAAACCACTACTCCCTAACCCCTATGTAGGGGGTAGTGAGTAGAGCACTATATAGTGAGCTCACCAGCATAATAGAAACAGCACTTTCGGACACTACTCGATCGTTTCTCGGCGCCGTTGATTAAACGCGCCGTCATCTGTCAGCTGGTGCCGAGCCAGCTCTGGGCTAAATAGATTTTTTTTTAATAAATACATTACATTATATTCAGCTTATTTCTCCAAAATTGTAAAATTAAAAGTCATTTCTGGCCGTTTCTGTTATAATGTGTTACTCCACACATGATTATAACTTATAAACATAAATAAAATTAATACACATATTTCATAAATTTTCATTTTCGCGCCACACCGTTTTCTCTTGCCTGTCGACATTAGGGAAAAAAAACAGATCTACGTTATCAAATCTCTTGCTCATAATACTCTTAATAAAACAGCTTTTAGACTCTGTGGAGATCCCACTCAATGTTTATCTTTTTTTGTTTGTTCTCGTGATTCAGAAGATTTTGCGGATTAGCAAAAGAAACAGGATTTCTAGACACAGAAAACGACGTGCTGTTCTTGCTACGCTAGCGAGACGTCGTCAAATTGTAAGTTAAAGATGAAGATGATGCTGATAGGTCTTTTACGATCAGCGCAATGCATGATGGTATGTAGGGCTTGGATTAGTGACCATCGGTTGTACACTACTTTTCAAAATGCATTCTGGGATACATTGAGTGGACTATATAGGGTATAATAATCATCACTATACATTCGGACAGCACTACAAAATGGCGAGCTCACTATATAGTCCACTATATAGTGAGTAGTGGGAGATTTCGGACACAGCCAATGTGTTTCGATCGTAGTTTATGTGCATCGGATAAAAATGCATTCGCGTCAATTGAGCACATACGTTTCTTATGCACTTAATTACAAAGAATTTATACACATCTTAGCTTTTCCATCCATCGCTTTTTTATGCGATATCCCAAAATGCGCATGACAACAGGTGGATGCAAACAGCAAATCAGCTCTTGTGTTTAATCAACATATAAATGACGCTGCAAATAAATAAGACCAAACTTTTCCATATTTAGTCCAAATCAACCACATCACATCGGTTTATGCATTTCCTGGAAATCAAACCCAGGAAGTAAAATCAAATGTTACAATGATCTCATTGTTATTGGCTAGATTTTGAATGCTGAAGCCAATGGGAGGATTTTAAACTTTTATCGTAAATTCCCTTCATTAAGTATAAAATACTGTAAACATATTGTATTTATTTATTTATTTATTTATAAACATATCTTTATTACGAGGATTAACCCCTTGAGATGAAACATCTCGTTTTCGAGGGGGTCCTCCAATACATCAAAGCAAAAAAAGAACCAAAACAGCAGAGCAAATGTCAAAAACAGTACAACAAAACACAACAACACACACACACACACACACCAGCTCATGATGCTCAACCCCACCCCACCCAACACGATCCCCATAGATAAAATGACAGAAAAACAACCACTTAACTAGCATTGCACAAGGTCAAGGAGTAAGAGTAACACAAAAAAACAAAAAAACATTGAGGATAAGAATTACAATAATAATAAATAAATGAATAAAAATGAAGACATAAAAAATTTGAAATAGTAAACACATGGCCAATGAAGCCCATGGTCCAACAAACAAAACTAGAAACAAAGACAAATATTACGAAGATATTCCACGAGGGCCCTTCGAAAAGCTGTAAGTGAAGTTAAAGAACGGATAAAAAGAGGAAGATTGTTCCAATCATATGGAGCCTTAAAACAAAATGCAAATTTCCCTACTTGTCTTTTAACTCTAGGAACAACAAAAAAGATCTGATCATTGTATCGCAGGCTGTAAAGCGAATTATAAAGCACCAAGTGTTGCTTGAGATAAACTGGATAATTCAAGTAAAAACTTTTAAAAATAAACTGTAACCAGTGAGACTGTCTCCTGGCAGAAGGGGCCAACCAGGACAACTGACTGTACAACACACAGCGGTGTGTCCTGAAGGGACAACGGAGAACAAAACGGCAAAGACTGTTGTAGACCACATCAATGGAGTGCAAACAAGAAGCAGTAGTGTTCTGATAAATAATGTCGGCATAATCCAAAATAGGCAGTAGCAGCTGTAAAACTATTCTTTTCCTGACCGGAAAATTAAAACATTTAACAGATTGATAAAGTATTTTAAGACGAGAGTAAAGTTTGTTTGTCAATGCTTGTACATGAGTTTTGAAAGATAAGTCAGTTTCCAACCAAACACCAAGATATTTAAAGGTCTCAGTTGACTCTAAAGGAGAGGAATCAAGAAAACAAAGATTAAGGTTATTTTCACCTGTATCCAAGACTTGTCTGTGGAACAATAAAGAGTAGGACTTTGATTTATTAAGGAGAAGTTTATTCGCCAATAGCCACTGCTGTATAGAATTGAAGTCATGCTGTAAAGCGAGGTTTATCCCGGAGATAGTGGGTTTACTACAGTAAATGACTGTATCATCGGCATAAAGATGAATATTACAGTCTGTACAGCATAAGGGCATGTCATTAACAAAAATAGAAAATAATAATGGACCCAAAGAAGAACCTTGAGGGATGCCTTTTACTATGCCTGTATAATCTGACTGACAACCCCTGTAGGACACACTCTGACGACGATGATGAAAATAGCAATTAAACCAGAGTAAAGATGATCTCGAAAGACCAATAGCATGCAATTTATCCAATAGAATATAGTGATCAACTAAATCAAAGGCTTTGGAGAGATCTAAGAAAATGGCACCGGTACACAGATTGTCATCAAAACTAGAGAATATATCATTAGAGAGTTTTAAAAGAGAAGTGGTAGTGGAAAAGTGTTTTCTGAAACCTGATTGGCATTGCGTAAGTAAATTATTATCAGATAAATAACCAGATAATTGATTAAAAATTATTTTCTCAAAAACTTGAGCCACACTATTAATTATTGATATTGGTCTATAATTGTTCAAATTTTGTGAATCTCCACCTTTGTGCAAAGGAATAACTTTAGTACAATTCCAAGCAAGAGGGACTTCGCATGTATCAAATGACATGTTAAAAAGCACAGCCAATAGTGGTGCTAGTACATGCGATGCAAGTTTAATGAACTTACCCTCAAGACCATCAGGGCCAGGACTACTGCTATTGGAAAGCTTATTAATAGCCTGTTGAACTTCCGTTGATCTAACCTGTCTAAATTTAAAAGAGCTTCCGCAGGGTTGGCTGTTAAGACACGGGTCTGCGAGAAAAACAGGAGGTTGGATAAGCGGTATTTGAGAAAAAAGCAAACTAAAGGCATTAGAAATCACAGCTGGATCATCAGTTATTTCATTATTAATTATCATATTATTTGAAGTATTATTAGACTTACCAATTAGAGTGTTAGCTCGCTTCCAGAATTGCTTTGGGTTACTTAGTTCATTTGACAGGCTATCACGATAAAAATAGGCTTTAGCGTTTCTTGTTTGAGTTGTACATAAATTTCGTAATCGTTTGTATTTTTCCCAGTCTTCAGGCAATTGTGTATGTTTATGTTTAACCCAGGCCCTATCCCTCTTTTTAAAAAGATTAATAAGAACACCATTTACCCAAGGCAGATGATGGCCTTTAACCTTAATGGATTTCCATGGAGCATGCCTGTCAATAACTAGCCCAACTTCAGTATAAAAAAAATCCCAAGCAGCTTCAACATCAGGAATTAAGTAGAACCTATCCCAATTTATCCTACGAAGGTCATTAACAAATAGATTATTATTAAATGATTTAGTTTCCCGTACCTTGATATATTTAGGAGGAAGATGAGGAGTTGCAATTTTCCAGATACAATAAATAATGGAATGATCACTAAAACAGTCAGAGAGAACTCCAGAAGTCATTATTCTGTGTGGATGAGAAACAAGAATCCAGTCAATGAGAGATTTAGAGTTAGAGCAAATTCTAGTGGACTCAGTGATGATTTGAGTCAAATTAGCACCATTAACCATATTACGTTCTTTGACTGTAGAAGAATCATTCCAATTTAAATTAAAATCCCCCAGTAGAATAGTTTCTCTCGAGTCACCCAATAATGATACCGTAGCTAAAATGTTCTTAACAGACTCTAGTTTAGGAGCTGTAGGCGGTCGATAAATATTGGCTATTATCAAATGTTTATTTGCATGAAGAGTTAATTTAACAAAGATACCTTCGAAAAGCTGTGATTAGCTGTGAACTCAGATTAGATGAAATATAAGTAACGACTCCACCTCCCCTGGAACCTCTGTCAGCCCTATACATTACATAATTTTCAAGGTGAATAAAAGCATCAGTAGTACTATTAGTAAGCCATGTTTCAGACAAAGTAATTATATTGGGATTATTATAGGACAGCCAAGCTCTAAGCTGATCAATTTTAGGGAGTAAACTACGGATGTTAAGATGGATAGCATGGAGACTTTTACCCATAGAATATATATTTGTAATCAATGAAAACAAAGCTAACTAACCTTGTGAGGTAAAAATCGTGAAAGTGAAGAAGAGGTGAACATGAGAGCCAACACCATATACACACACACTCAACCATACCTACATTTAAAAAAAACAAAAACAAAACAATAATACAGAAATCCACACACAAAAGCAAGATAACAAATTAAACTAAACTGTCTTCATTCACTCCCCTGATAATAGAACCACTGAGTTATTTTCCACAACGTAATTAAGTGCTTCAAGATTGATAATAAATCCCTTAAAGTTAATAGATAAAATAAATTAATACGCAAAAAGAATACACACTCAATACATTTTTGTTTGCTTTATAGACCCAGTGGTGAGATAAAATAAAACAGCATATAAACACTCAAGTACACAAAACTTCCTTCCTTCCCTTTCCCTTAAAACAAAAAGAGAGAAAAAAAAAAAGTAAACAACAAACAATCATCTCTCTTTATGAGAACAAGTCTATCTGTCACCACGAAATGACGTCAGACGTTAAATAATGCTTCATGCCGTACGGAAATAAACAAACAGGCATGACAGCAGACGTAATTGATATTTCTCATAATGATTAAGGATCAGAAGAATCAAAAGAATCTAAGTACTTGACAGCCTCACTTAAATCGCCAAACTGGATTTGGTCCGACCCGCGGCTGAATTTGACGACAGCGGGATACAACAAAAAAGCCTCAAACCCCAAGGTACGTGCCCGGTTCATTACTGGAAAGCAGGGACGTCTGAGTCGAGCGGTGAAATCACTGTAGTCAGCAGTAAAGCGGATAGTTTGACCATCAACTACCACAGGTGTTTTCCTTGCGAGGCCCAAGATCCTGTCTCTGTCAGTGAGGCGAAGACAATTAAAGATCATGTGCCGTGGGGAAGCACCCGCAGAGCGCGGGCGGCCAACGCGATGTGCTCGCGTAAACTCCAGAAGATTGGAAGCCAACTCAGGAAACCATGTAGGAAAGATGCTCAACAGGTAGGACAGAGCATTACTATGTTCTACTCCTTCTTTCAGGTTGATTATACGTAAGTTACTCCTTCTGCCCTGGTCCTCCATCGTGATTAATTTCTCCTGAAGTTTCTTTAAAGCCTCAGACTGCTCAGTTATGGAGTCCTCAGCGCGTTTCACTTGAGCACGAAGAGAAGTAGTAAGCTTACGTTGGGAGTCTATTTCTTTCGAGTGTTCCTCCAGTGTTGTTTTAATGGAAACAAGCTGATTTTCCAGACGATCAAAGCGATCTTTAGATTGTTTATCAGCTTCAGCAAAATACTTATGAAGGATAGTTTCCATAGACGCAGTTGTCAACTCACACACGCCCGAGTCGGCGTCTGCAACAAGTGCGTGCACTTCTTTAGGTTGGGATGCCTTCTTCGGAGGCATTGTCAAATCAAAGTTCAAAATTCAAAAGTACTCACAAAAAGTTTTAGATTTGCTGTTTAGCTGTTCTAAATCTGCTGTTTTAACACATTGAGCAGGGAGAGCTGTGAGAAGCCTAACTCCTACTCCGCCATCTTGGATTCCTCAATGTGTATACTCCGTATACTTGTATACTTAAAATTATTTACTCAACAAAAACTGATTAAGGTTGAGCTGAAAAGGTAAGGGGAATTGCTATACAGTGCTGCTTTGCAAGTGTATTAAATATGCATTTTTATAAAGGCCACAAAGACAACATTATGTATTGCAGCAATATGCACTTCCGGTAACAAGCTTGAGAAACCTTTCAGTGGCCTCATTTTAAATAGGTGGATCATTGCACCAAAAAAATGATTTTTTAAGTCCTTCCTTCCCATTGAACAATCAGGGAAAAGTCTCATTCTGAAGTCGTCCGGCTCAGATTCTGTTCGATATTCAGCTCTGCATACAACCCAAAATAACTCCTGTACTGTGCTTAGAACACAAAGTCCTTTGTTAGGTTAGTCTTCAGTTATGTTGTGATAGTTATAATATGAATGTGGTAAATCTTTAGTCAGAGCAGACAGGGGCATGTGTGTGAAGGAGATTTGAATTAAACATCTATATCAGAACAAGAAATATATCATATTTTGGTTGTCAGTGCGACAGTTAAACTACACCTGAGGTGGGTCTGCCGGTGTGGACTTTAGGGGAATTACCTTTACATCCGCTGGGAACGTCCTTGGAGCCATTTGGTTAAAAGTCAAAGTAAAGTTAGTTGTGAGAAAAGATCTAGCATGTGATGCAATGAAAGTCATGCATGTGACATTTGTATGTTAGAGTTGTTTCTCCACAAAACAACTTGTTTGGTTTCACTTGATAAAGTTCAAAGCCTTTTACAATTGCTCACTGCGTCCCAAATCGCACACTGTCCAGTACATACTACATGTGTTTTTTGAAAGCTTAAAAAAGTATGTCCTACGTAGTGTGAATGTGTGTATTACGGATGTAATCTAGCGTCGCTTCACTGTCATTCACAAATCCTCTCCCGTGGCCTCATGGGATAGTAAAGTGTCCATCGAATGCACACTTCATAATCCCGTCGAATGTAGTACTGTTGGTACTTTTTGCGTATGAATTATGAATACTATGAATTTGGACATACAACTTGGCTCACATACATTTTCTACTACTATAGTATGGATTCAGTGATACTGCACTTCACGCGAAATCAAAGAACGAACTGGTGTGACATCATTTGGAAAAAAATTCGTTTTGGCCTGATTTTTTCGAGAGTTCGTTTCGGGAGTTCGAAACAGCTTGAAAAGTTCACTTCGGCTGGTAAACACCTTCGAACTCCCATTGGTCCGTGTGGCGATGATGTAATAGGTGGGTGTGGCTCTGAGGCTCCGCCTTCTTTGAGGTGTAAATCTATGGTTCATGTCTTCTGTTCAGTCCGTCGAGGTTAAGACGAGAGTAAACACACTGGAGAGAAGCTTTAAACTAGAAACCGAGGTTGTATTTCTAATTGAAAGAGACACAGTTTTTTCATATTTAATATTGTAAAGCAGTAGATTGTATAAAGTTGTATATGAATAAATATGATGTGACTTGAGTTGCAGAGCAAACATCCTCATCTCTATGATCAGATGCTTTCTGAACGGCTGTTTTCTCACCGCTGGCATTTTTGTGTTTATTTTGTTACTGAGAGGAAAGCGTCCCGTACATATTTACATATTCATCTAAACGTATACATGTCTAGGTGTTCTAGCTATGTGAGCTGTTGTGTTGGGGATCAAGTCTATCTTTATGAGGGAGTTCTGTGTATCATAATTCATAGATGTCGTGTTAACCTAGAAACCTAGTTCTGCTCTGGGTTTCCTCAACTTTACACAAACTGTTTATAGTCCTTGGACTTTGCACTAAAGTCCAGCTATAAAGTGAGGAAAGAAAGCTTGTTAATTCTGCGAATTCCTTCTCCAGGTCGCAGTCACGTTGAGTTAACAGATTAGCGTTGTGAAAAACAGAGATGTACAATCAGATCACAGATAGGCAATCCTCCAAGTGTCTTCATATTTGGGGAAAGTCTGCCAACAAACCCATATTCAATGTTTGTTATGTGGTCGGGAATGTGGAAATTGAACTCATAATTTATTGCATGTTTGTTTCAAACTTTTCGTACTGAATTCGTCATGAGCGGGAAATTCTAACCCTTCCAGAAATGCACAAACACGGGCGCATTAAACCATGTGACTGCCGTTGAGTTTACACAGGCAAGCCAGACTCGAACAGCATTAAACAAGCCACAGAAACACGGGCCCACTTCTCTGCTAAACCTCTCTAATGCTGCAGTGTAAGTAATTGCTGTTCTGCTTGTGTTCCAGAACACATTCTCCAGTGTGTTTCACATGGAATATGAGGAGCTTGCAGGATCCGTGGACTTCCCGAACAGGTGGGGTTATCATACAAATTACCATTATGTAATGCAAGGCAAAGTGCCAGGAATGTTCAATACAAGTTAAGCTGTAAGGAGTTTAGTCTACAGACTTCAGCTCCAATACACCCGCCTTAAGGTTTCTACTGTAATATCTTTGAAAATGAAAATGATGCTTGAGGTTCACTTATACTGATCTCTTATAGGTAAATCAACTCACACTCATGCAACGAACCCTTTAAAGTCCCCCTGTGGTGAAAATCCATTATTAATACGCTGTAAGACACACCATGTGTAAGTTCATAAGTCGACAGCATTGCTGAGTATTTTCTGCTTAAAACTGCAGTGAACCAAAGACAGTCTCAAAAACACGGTGAAATTTTGGTGATCAAAAATGAGTTTCAGAGGATTGACCACAACGGGACTTTAAACGATTCAAGAATCGGACATCCTTGTATATTTCATGAAACGACATTAGGCTAGACGTGATAGGCTTTTCAGTGATTTTCATATTCTCGTCCTCACACAAAGCTTTGTCTTTAAGGGTGTGTTCACACTCGGCAGGATTGGTTGGGTTAAAGCGAACTGTAAGTGCGGCTCATTTCAATAAGTGTGAACGCTGCCATCCGAACCAAACAAGCCGAGACTCTGAAAAGATGGATCTCGCTTCCAAAACAAACTCTGGTGCGGTCCGACTGAAATATGGACGCAACGCGGACCACAGACATCTAAACCAACCCAAAACAGGATGTGATGTCATAAGATGCGTGAATGCTCGAGTTCTTCCCGTCACAGTCGCGATGTTAAAAACACTGTAATAAAAGACTTGCAATATAACGTTTAAGACCACTTTTATGCAGTTTGGTTTCCGATACCGTTACGAACTAAAAGTGTGAACACACCCTAAAGGACTTTGCAATATAACAAACAAGACCACTTCTGTGATACTTTACGGGGCATGTTTAGCACACAGTATTGTTTTTTGGATTTATATTCACAAAATATATGTCATAAAAGCCTTTTTTGGGGGGTTTGTATCTTTAGGTTCTGCCTTAAAAATTAAACCAGGACTAAAATGTATTTTGTTTTTTGATCTGGACCAAAAGAACCCAAACTACAAGTGTGAACACACCCTAAAAGACTTGCGATTTAACTTACAAGAACACTTTTATGGGGCTTTTTTTTATCATTTTGGAGCTTCACATCCTCATCCCCTTCTTTTCCATTCTCATTATAATTAGAAAAGAGTGTCAATTCTCCTTTATGTTCCACAGAAGAAAGAAAGGAACAACATTAGGATGAGTAAACTGACAGAATTTTCATTTTTGGGTGTATTTTTGGCAATTACACGTGAAGTTTATTTACTTCATAATTTTAAGGCTACAGATTTCCTCACTTTTTTAAAAGTTAAGCCAACTGATCACTTTTTACAGAGTATAGTGTGGTTTTTGTGTCTAAAACCATTTTCTGCAGTATTACTATTAGTAATGGACTGGAATTACTATTAGTATTACTAGTATTAGCAATGTTGCACATCTAGGAGATTGATTGTAATGATGTGTGGTTATAAGCAGGAGCGCGTAATGATTTGTTGATGTCTTTGACAGGGAATGTGACGTCAACAAGATTAACTACATGTACGCTCAGTATGTCAAGAACAGTATGGAGTCGCTGAACATCACAGATGTCACCGAAGACCAGCGATTTCCATGGACTGTAAGTGTTCATAAATGCTTATTCATTCAAACATTGGGTTGGGATCATCCCGATGTTTCAACGCTATCTCGCGACCAATTTGTGCGAAATCGTACGAGTGAGTAAAAGGTGGCTAATTCGTACGATTTGTCTAGGGGCGGGGTCAGGTGTAGGTCATTTGTATGAATTGGGCAACTCATAAAATATGTACGATTTAGCAAAAATCTTACGAATTCGTACGAGTGAGGTCGTATGAATTCGTCGTACGAATTAGCCACCTCGTACGAATTGCCGTGAGATCGGGTTGGATATTTCTGGGATTTCACAGAGCTCTTATTCATTCAAACATTGGGATGGGATCATGCCAATGTTTCAATGCTATCTCACGACCAATTCGTACGAGTGAGTAAAAGATGGCTAATTTGTACGAATTTGTACAATTTGTCTAGGGGCGGGGTCAGGTGTAGGTCATTCGTACAAATTCATGCGAATTGGGCAACTCGTAAAATGTTTACGATTTAGCAAAAATCGTACGAGTGATGTCGTATGAATTCGTACGAATTAACCACTTCGTAAAATTCGTACGAAAGGCCTTGAGATTGGATTGGATTTTTCTGGGATTTAACAGAGCTCTTATTCATTCAAACATTGGGATGGGATCATCCCGATGTTTTAACGCTATCTCACGACCAATTCGTACGAGTGAGTAAAAGGTGGCTAATTCGTACAAATTCGTACGAGTGAGTAAAAGGTGGCTAATTCGTACAAATTTGTATGATTTGTCTTGGGGTGGGGTCAGGTGTTGGTCATTCATACAAATTCATGCAAATTGGGCAACTCATAAAATATTTACGATTTAGCAAAAATCGTACGAGTGATGTCGTATGAATTCGTACGAATTGCCGTGAGATCGGGTTGGATATTTCTGGGATTTAACAGAGCTCTTATTCATTCAAACATTGGGATGGGATCATGCCGATGTTTTAACGATATCTCACGACCAATTCGTACGAGTGAGTAAAAGGTGGCTAATTCGTACGAATTTGTACGATTTGTCTAGGGGCGGGGTCAGGTGTAGGTCATTCCTACAAATTCATGCAAATTGGGCAACTCGTAAAATATTTATGATTTAGCAAAAAACGCATGAATTCGTACGAATTAGCCACCTCGTAAAATTCGTACGAATTGCCGTGAGATCGGGTTGGATGTTTCTGGGATTCACAGAGCTCTTATTCATTCAAACATTGGGATGGGATCATCCCAATGTTTCAACGCTATCTCACGACCAATTCGTACGAGTGAGTAAAAGGTGGCTAATTCGTACGAATTTGTACGATTTGTCTAGGGGCGGGGTCAGGTGTAGGTCATTCGTACAAATTCATGCGAATTGGGCAACTAGTAAAATATTTACGATTTAGCAAAAAACGTAAGCCACTTCGTAAAATTCGTACAAATTGCCGTGAGATCGGGTTGGATGTTTCTGGGATTTCACAGAGCTCTTATTCATTCAAACATTGGGATGGGATCATCCCAATGTTTCAACGCTATCTCACGACCAATTCGTACGAGTGAGTACGAAATGGCTAATTCGTACGAATTTGTACGATTCGTCTAGGGGCGGGGTCAGGTGTAGGTCATTCCTACAAATTCATGCAAATTGGGCAACTCGTAAAATATTTATGATTTAGCAAAAAACGCATGAATTCGTACGAATTAGCCACCTCGTAAAATTCGTACGAATTGCCGTGAGATCGGGTTGGATTTTTCTGGGATTTCACAGAGCTCTTATTCATTCACATCCCCTATTTTGCACTATAAACTGTCTCTTTTCCCCAAAGATGCTTGAATTTTAAACTTTGCAATTGCATTTGTTTTTTCCCCCTCATTTCTTTTCGGAAGAGTGAAAATCTAGAGTCCTCGAACGGTCAAATCAAAAGTCTTCTCTGCACGCCAATCAGGAATGGGAAGAAAGATAAAGTGATAGGTATGTGTGTTTTCAATATTTCCACAATCTGAGCCATTAGTCAACATCGTTCCTAAAATGATCAAAAGACAAACATTGATATTACTATTATCTGACGCTTAATCATCCCACACCAATAATTTACACCTCAAATTGTGAAACTAAGAAAACAAAATTGGTGAAAACAAAATCTCATAGATTCACATGGACCAGAATATCATCTGATGGTGTTTTTATTTTACCTTAGACACCTCTCATATTTTCTTCTGAATGCATAAAAATATAGTTTATAATTGGCTTTTCATTTCTCATGCATTTTTAACTGACATCATTAAGTTTCTTAACAATTGTGATGCTGGTCGAATTCAAGTGCAATATAAACCGTATAATAATCAAAGTCTGAATTGGTTGGAATAATTTAGCATGTCATCTTCTTAAGGGTTTATGTCTTATTTTGTATAGTCTCATTGAGCCAATCGTGATGAAAATAAATCTTTTTTTAATTGATTGCTTTATCTCCTTTTATCTAGACGTATAATAGAGGTTAATTAAGTTGCTGACAGCTGATAAACCACTAATGAACATTAACATTAAAATGGTCATTTATTCGGCCTCATTTATTCCAAACCGGTATGAACTTCTTTCTTTCATGCATCACAAAAAGTGAATTTATAAAGAAAGTGCTGGCACCCTTTTCCATTAAAGTATCTCGAAAGCAGGCCATAAATGCCATATTTCAAGTTTATTCTTTAGAAAATCCCCTTTTGTGCTCCACGGAAATAGGAAAGTCATTTACAGTAGATCAAAAACAACAATATATATACAAATAAATATGTATTTTGTGCTAAATATTCACATATCAGTGTTTCGGCCTCTGAATGCAGGTGTTTGCCAGTTGGTGAATAAGATGGATGACGCGTCAGGAGAAGTCAAAGCCTTTAATAGGAACGATGAGCAGTTTCTCGAGGCCTTTGCTATCTTCTGTGGACTGGGCATCCAGAACACACAGATGTACGAAGCCGTGGAAAGAGCCATGGCCAAGCAAGAGGTCACACTCGAGGCGAGTCGGATTTTATACACTTCACTCATTTTATGCCATGGAATTAAAAAAAAAGACTTTATTTCTCAGAATTGCACGTTTATATCGCGCAATTCAGACTTTATAACTCGCAGTTGCAAGAAAAAAAGTCTGAATTCTTCAGTATATATCAGTGTTTATAATAATAGTTTCCATCCATCCTCCTTAACATTTGATTGTGACTGGGCCGCAAAGTTGCTGGACAACAAATATGATGTCCTTAATATGTTGGTGGTATTACAGGTTTTAAACAATACAATTTCTCTATACTTAGATCACTTTTGAGCACAACTGAAATATATATGTGAGCTAAACTGTGAATCATTTATCATTGTTTTGGCACAAAATGCATTCAATGCAAATGAATTCTTTTCTCAGTCAGACACAGACATATACAGTAGTGGCCTAAAGTGATGTCCGGAGGGGATATTTGTCTTTAATGACCCGACAAGTTTGATTAAACCATCAAAATATGAGGAAGAACAAAACACTAAACTTGGTTAAGGTGTAAAGTGTCCTTCATTTATACAGCGCTTTTAACAATATAGATTGCTTCAAAGCAGCTTTACAGTGATGATAGGAAATTACAGTAACAGAAGATATGTGAACATTATCCATTGACCCGTTAACATCCGATGCCTGTGTGTGTTTCGCTGCAGGTGCTCTCGTATCATGCGTCGGCTGAAGAAGAAGAGACGCGGGCGCTCCAGGTATCTGCGGTAAATTACAATTTATCACTATATCATATTGAAATGTGCTTTACTTTACAAATCAAGCATTACTTTACCTGTCTATTCATAACACAAGCAACTGGAGGCATACGCCATGTTCAATGCCAGTGTAAAATAGACCATAATCATAATTAGATTTTGTTTTGAAGTCTCCTACAATACATTTACATTCATCCAAGGTCAAAAACACTTTAATTTCCTCATAATGTACATTACAGCATCAGCTCTTTTCTCTCAGTGTCTGAAACGCTTCGTTCGGAGATTCAGTCTCTCTAAGCTCCGCCTCTCTGAGAGCTTTCTCTGCTCTGATTGGTCAGAAAGCAAACGCTCATTATCATATGTGAATCTCAGCTCTTGATCACAGTGATACGAACACAGGGTTTCCGCGGGGCATTAAAAAGCATTAAAAGTCCTTAAATGGATTTTGCGAAAATTAAGGCCTTAAAAGGCATTAAAAAGCATTAAATTTGATTCTTACAGGCATTACATTTTTTTATAGTTTTGAAGAGAATTTTATATAAATTTATTTGAATATAGCCTCAATAATTAATATTTTGTATTTGCTGTCGCAAAATATGTACGTTTGTGTGATAAATACGCGGAACCAGTTTGGTAATTGCTTCTAGCCGGAGCAAAAGTGCCGTGATGCGGAGAGGTGACGCGGGTCTGGTGTACAGTGGTGGACAGGTTGAACCTTGGAAAAATGAGTGCAAATTCCAGCCAAAGTGTCTGGAAAACAAAACTTTTAAGACATGGTTGCAGCCCGTTAGTGGTAAAAATGATGAAGGATTTTGCGGCGTTTGTAAAAAAAGCATTTAAAGTTGTGGACAATGGGAATCAGCGCTGTAAAACCCCATATGCAGTGTGACGGCCACAAATCGGCGTTAGATTTAAATAGTACATTGTGTTTAATTTTTCGTTTAATGGGATCTAATATATGTTGCTAGTAGCGAGTAAAATCGAGAGTCTCTCCGCAACGGATTGAAGCTCGCGTCCGAGAGAAGTGTTGTGCACGAGCCACAACAACAGAACGCAGGCAAAGACCGTATATTGTTCTTCTATACTCTTTGACGCAGGGCTCTCAAGTGTCACGCATTGAGCGTGACAGTCACTCATTTCGGTCTTTTGTCACGCACTCCCGCCACACATTGTATTTCTCACGCTGAAAAACTATTTATAATATATTGAATATGCAGCAGCGCCCCAAATGTCTCTGGCCGCGCCGCTATCACTATGGAACCGACAGGAATCAAGCGCGTCTTCCATGCAGTTCTTACTAGTCGAGCCTGCCACTTATCAGCCAATCAAAAAAAAAAAAGAATGGGTCTACACATTAGCCAATTAGAAAATAGCACTATTGTATCTGGGTAAGATTCAAGATAAGTCATGATCTCCTGTTTTAATGTTACAAAAAATTCACAACTTGTTTGACACAAACAATGGCAACTTGATTGCTGCTAGAGAAACGTTTCCCAGATAATTAGCATGAGTTTTTCATGAGTGTCTGTAACTTAGACAACAGTTTTACAGCCTGTTCACTGACAACACCTGCTCAGAACAAGTAGTCTAGGCCTAATCATATTTTCGTTATCACACGATGACTGACATATTGTCAAATTATAAACATCTCTCTCTCCAAATAGGCTTAATAATTTTATAAGCACTAAATAAATTAAAGTGTATTGCATAGTCGATGTTATAGGTCACTTTTAAAATCATGTCATATTTTATAATTATATCTGGGCCATGGATGCATTAATCATTGCATCTGTCTTTCAAAGATGTCAGGTAAAAAGCAATTAAGCATCCTCTCATTCGCCCTGAGAGGAAAGCCCCCTAAAAAGGCCAGGTTAGAGGATGCTGGCCCAGAGAAGGGCCCATTAGAGGAGGAGACGGTGCAGGTAGAAGAGGAAGAGAATAAATACTATTATGTATTTGGTTGAATTGTCGGTGCCATGTGTCGAATCTTCTCTATTGCAAGTGTGAGCAATTATTAATAACAACAAAAACACTAATAATAATATTACTAATGAAACACCACCATTCATGCGACCCGTCCTTACATCTATGTGTTCCAGAAAAAAAACATTTAATATATATATATATATGTGGTTAGTCATGGGTCGTATATGGCATTAAAACATTTTAAAATGGCATTAAAAAGGCATTAAAAAGGCATTAAATTTAATTTGAAGATACCTGTAGAAACCCTGGAACAGTAACGATGGCGTGGGTTTCTCAGCGTCTCCTCGACACGAACAACACGAGCCGAACTCTTCCAGTCTCAGATACACTACAGTGTTTGAGGGCGGAGCTAAGAGACGCTGCTCAGCCAATCAAAACCATAGGCAGGCATTATGCAAATTAGCTACAAACCTACATGGATATGTAACAGAAGTGAGACTGGAGTTACTGACGACTCGTTTCAGCAGTTCAGAATTTATTCTTTTAAGAAAATAACTTTATTTGTCATTTAGCATTTAAGGGTCATGCAATTAAATAACATGTTGTGAGATTTGAACATAGTTATGCATGTTGATCATCATAGAAGACAATGTTACCCTCCGTTAGTTTTAATTGTAGAAGTAAACTAGATACGACGCCTCAATTAGGTTTCCTCCGACAGGCGTAACCGTGAGATCGCGTGCAGAGACGCAGGAATGGCTCAAAATGAGCGTTTAGTTTTGCTTTGTAAGAGTTTCTGCGTCTCACAAGTTCTCTTCAGTCTGGGACACAAGCTTGATCCTCCACACAGTGAGTGTAACCGGACAAACGGCTTATAATAACACCACAAACTAGGCCTCACAAGTTATTAAAGATGCAACAGCGCATTCATATATATGTATTTCTCGGCAGAGTACAAATGCGTTATGGTAAATTGCAGCGTGCATTTTTGGGATGCTTAAAAAGTAGCCAAAAAATCATTAGTTGCATAGAGTGAAAAGATCCAAATAGACAAAAATGCAAAAAAAAAGCTCAAATAATGTAAAGGAAAGACTCTAAATGTGAGATTAAAACCAGTGCTTTACTGGGAAATGGCGAAGGCCTGCAGGCTTCGAGGAAGGTCATGTGACCGAACCGTTTGGCATTTCTCAATTTAATCTCGCATGTAGAGTCTTTACTTTTCATTATTAGAGGATGCATGCTTTTTTTTTTTTTGCACTTTTGTCTATTTGGATCTTTGCACTCTATGCAACTCGTGAGTTTTTGGCTACTTTCCAAGCATCCCAAAAATGCACGCTGCAATTTACCATTATTAGAATATGACTGCTTTTTTGTGTGCATTTTAGTCTTTTTGCTCATTGCTTTAATGTACAGAAACGTAAAAAAAGGCTCGATTGCGGGGGGATTTTGTGTCTTCGCATTGAAGCGACGTGCAGATCTTGAAATGTTTCGGAAAGGTCTGGAAAATATTGAATTGCAATACTGCAGATGTTCGTTTAAACAGATGAAGCTGTATGAAAGTTATGCTTCTTTCTGCTTGCTGACTGAAGCACATAATCTACAGAGACGTGATTTATGGACTCTGCATTATGCGATGGTTCTGGTTTTCAGAAGAGGAGACTCTGCTGATGGCAGATCATTGATTATTAATGTGTGTCAGACAGCGATCTCTCTGAGATGATGTGTAATAATGTCCTGCACCCACAGGCCGCCACGATCCCCTCGGCTCAGTCTCTCCGACTGATGGACTTCAGCTTCAGTGATTTCGACCTGTCGGACGCCGACACGACTCAAGCCACCATACGCATGTTCGTGGACCTCAAGCTCGTGCAGAACTTTCAGATGAAGTACAAGGTGCCATTAGACAAATAATGATTTTTCATATTATTATCAGGGTTTCCGCAGGATCTTAAAAAGTCTCAAATTTCAAAATCAAAATATAAGGCCTTAAAGGGATACTCCACTTTTTTTGGAAATAGGCTCATTTTACAACTCCCCCAGAGTTAAACTGTTGAGTTTTACCGTTTTTGAATCCATTCAGCCGGTCTCTGGTTCTGGGGGTACCACTTTTAGCATAGCTTAGCATACATCATTGAAGTGGACAAGACCATTAGCATTTCTAAAAAAAAAATGAGTTTCGATATTTTTCCTATTTCAAACTTGACTCTTCTGTAGTTACATCGTGCACTAAGACCGACGGAAAATGTAAAGTTGCGATTTTCTAGGCTGATATAGCTTTACTTTACTGTAAACTTTACTGCCGTACCATGAGTGCAGCAGGCGTAATGATATGACGCAGCGCCTGAAAGTAGTCCTGTTGTGTTGACGGAAGGTAGCCTATTTTCAGGCGCTGCGTCATATCATTACGCCTGCTGCACTCATGGTACGGCAGTAAAGTTTCTTCAAAAATATCGAAACTCTTTGGTCATTTTTTTTTTTAGAAATGCTAATGGTCTTGTCCACTTCAATGATGTATGCTAAGCTATGCTAAAAGTGGTACCGCCAGAACCGGAGATCGGCTGAATGGATTCAAAAACGGTAAAACTCAACAGTTTAACTCTGGGGGAGCCTATTTCCAAAAAAAGTAGAGTATCCCTTTAAAAAGTCTTAAATTTGCTGAAGTATTGTGTTCTAGGTCTTTAAGTAATTAACAGGTGAAAGTTCAGTTTCTCAACATAATTAAAAATGACATAATTTAGACCTTTAAACTCTCATAAAACAACCAAGAATACATTATAATCAAGAATTATGCAAACGCATGACCTTTAGACAGACTTATTGTTTACTGTACACACATGAGGCTCCACCTCTACCGGATCCGGGCCACATCTGGGCCATGTTCAATCCACCTGTACCGGATCCGGACCACATCTGGGCCGTGTTCAATCCACCTGTACTGGATCCGGGCCACATCTGGGCCATGTTCAATCCACCTGTACCGGATCCGGGCCACATCTGGGCCGTGTTCAATCCACCACAGACAGACGTAAAGCGGATGTTATCCAGCTGTGGGGAAGTGGAAGTTTAGCGATACTTGGCTTGAAAAATCTGAATTTCGTGCTTGGTTAAAGCCAGTTGTAAAGCCTACTGCTTCTTATGCAAGAAAGCTATTCAACTGGGAACGTTGGGTGTACGGGCGCTGGAGTCACATGCAAAAAGTGTTTACATTACGCACTTTGGAATAGGGGATTTTATAAAAACAGAACTAATTTCCAAAATCACGGGACCGTTCGTGCTGATGTTCGACGAATGTTCAGTTTGAATAATTTAAATTACTTTGCAAGTAATTTTGCAAGTAATTTTGCAAGTAATTTTGAGACGTTTCCTTTGTATGTCGTGATATAGGTCTTAAATTTCCAGTCTAAAAGGTCTTGTTTCCAGTCCAAATATCTAAAAATTCTTAAATTAAGATGGATTTACTAAAGTAGCAAAATGCCATAAGATATTATATCTTGTTTTCTGCGGAAAAAAATCAATCAATATCAAAATGAAGTGAGTTTTTTGCTCAAAACAAGCTAAATGATCTGCCAATTGGGTAAGAAAAATAATTTTGGTCATACTTCCAAAAAGTATAATCTGATCCCGAATGCCAGGATCCACACCGGCGGCGACTGAGTCTCACATTCTCCTCAAAATATTGTGTTCATCCGCGCTGATAATAACCGCAATTGCAGATTTCGAACAGAGATGGCGACAAAGAGGAAAAACTACGAACTGCAGCTTTAAATTTAACAGATATTCAACATAATTCATGTGTGAGAGTCTAACAGACGGACGGACAAAACCAGTCAAATATCCACTGATTCTATAACTCTGAGTTCTTGCCATATTTTATTACCATTTTCTATAGCGAATAAACTGTGGTAATGTGAGAAATGTTTGCATAAATTTTGGTTTGACTGTACACGTGTGTTTTAGCTGCAGCGCATGTCTTTCAGTCTAATCTTTATAGCTTTAAAAGTGACTGGTTGTTGTTAACCTGTCCCTGTTCCAGAGCCTGTGCCAGTGGATCTTAAGCGTGAAGAAGAACTACAGGAAGAACGTGGTTTATCACAACTGGAGACACGCTTTCAACACGTCGCAGTGCATGTTCGCTGTGCTGAAGTCTGGCCGGGTCCAGGTCAGTGGATCTGAGAACAAACGCTGGCGCCAGTCATAAACCAGTAAAACCACTTTAACACACACACTGAGCTTGATGATCGACAGTGAGATGTGCAGTTGTAGTCATCGCTCTCTTATAATGTTTGTTTCCTTTTATAGACAAGGCAGTTGAGCAAGAATGAAACTAGCGGAGCGGTTTTTATTGTGCGTTCCACTATAAACGTCTTCTGTTGTTGACGGCGGGAGTTAATCATTTGCGTTTACACTCCTGCACTGATAGAAAACGCCTGCTTTCTTTGAATAGGAAATACCAGGAAGAGCTTTATGTTGAGTCAGCTTCTCACAATTGTGAATTATTTGGTATTTATGTATTGAGAACTAAACCCTCTGGTGCTAATAATTTTACGTTTTTTTTTTTTTACTTCATCAGAACGGTTTGAAACTTGGTAAAGGTTTTTGCAATTGCTGTGTAAACACAAAAAAATTCATGATTCAAACTAGTTAAATGGTCCTGTAATAAACAGTCACACTTGTGTTTCTCGCGGTCAAACACGAGCGCATTGGGAATGAGTGTGAGGCGAGTTTCCTCTAGTGGAAGCGTTTGGTACTGCAGCCGAACACACTCTTACTGAACGCTCGTTTACTGAGATATCAGACTCAACTTTGGAAATTGGATCATAACTTGTTAGGATTTACGGCTTTGATTTTCTTGCAGTTTTAGAGTAACGTGTTTTTGAAAATATAGATTTCATATAAAAATTGAAAATAGTATTTTTGTGCATTTTTCATATCAATAAACGTAAAATTCTGTAACTTTTTTTAAGGTCACTTTTTAAAAAAAATTTTCACTTCAGCAATAATCTGCCACGTGTCGTCTTTGAAAAGAGATCAAACTTCAGTCTGTCGCTCTAAAGCATTCAAGATTTACCACAGTTTAAAGGTGCTCTATGTAACTTTTCTACTAAAATGAATCCTTTTTTTATTGCCTGTGTGTGAAGGGGTTGTAATCACACATTAAAATGATCCACTTGTCGAGTTTTGCTATTACCTCTGAAGGCCAGTATTCCTATTTCTATGTGAAGTCTCCGGGTCGGATTTACCGCGAAATCCACCGGATGTGACGTGCATGCGCGCTCCCGAGCCTCGCTCCTTATATACAGTCTATTGTAGACGGTCAGGGAGTTACGTCCGGTTAAAGGCGCACGTTTTTCGGCTTATATCTCAGTCAATCTTTGATCAATTTTCCCAAGACTCTAATCGTTCGTAGTGCTGGACGGGGCCTTTCGAACGAGCCCACCCCCGAGGTCCAACTTGCCCGGCTCCCCGAGTTATAGCCGTTGGAAATCGGGGGTCCCAGCGAACGGCGATCCGGTAGGGGGCGTCCCCGAGGCCCGCCACTCTAGCGTTCGGGCAAGGGTTCCCCTGGGACCTCCTCCCCCGAATTTGAGCTCTCTGGGTCTTTGCGTTCCAGAGATACGAGGGATTTTCTTCTGAGATCGTGACGTCACCGGCGTCCGCAATTTTGCAGCGCGCCCGATGGTTTTCTGCTAATATCTCCGCGAAAACACCACCAAAAACTATGGAACTTATATGGTTCTTTTCAGCTCGACTAGATGGTCCCAACGAGCTCGGTGCTCGCCGAATCCGTCAAGTATTCGCCGAGATATTTGCGTAATAGACGGTATTGTCTATGAGTTTGAGCACGAGCGCTCTTGTAAAATTTGGTTGCAATCTGAAACATCACCACTAGAGGCCGCTAAAAGTTACATAGAGCACCTTTAAGTTAGAAATTTAATTTTCAGGTCTATGCTCAAAAAGTGAATACAGCGTAAATATAATTTAGTACCATAAAATCCCCTAAAAATACAAAATATTAAACAAAAAACATTATCAAACTTAAATATAGTACATTCCTTTCATTGAAATAAAAAAAAAAATTAATTTGGTCATTTCCTAAATTCTAACTGGATTTAGTTTGCTTATTCACTGGAAAGCTCTTACAGTTATGTGGATTTACATAAAGTGTGACTGCATTTGTTTTTAGATAGCATGATGGCTGTATTTGACCATGTTTAAGGCATTGACCAATCCCTGACTCGCAATATTGTTTAATTCGGCAGAAGATTTAGGGCTAAAATACAAACTTTTAGGTGTTAAAAACTACAGTCCGGATTTACTGTAGACACACAGTGAGAAATAAGCGCTGAAACGTGAGGACAGTTATTTCTGCAGATCATCTTATTGCATATGCATTTGTCGGAGTTTCCCTTTCAGACAGTATTTATAGAGGAGAGTATTTAAATGATTCATTTACTAAGTTTTACACTCGTCGATTTACTGGTGTTTGCTCCATTATAAGCATTTCTTAAACCAGACGCTAATGCTGCTCTTGGGAGATTGTGTTGGTCATTATGGAAACGATCCGTGTGTGTGTGTTCATTAATGTGTGTGTCGTCAGTAGATCATGCGCAGAACTTTACACTCCTATCTGCGCTGTTATGGGATTGCGCTCTCACGCTGATTCGGTAAATCTGTCCCTGTGTTTAGTGACTGTCACAGTAATATTGTAATAAAGCTGTGTTTTCGTTGACAGAATAATCTGAGTGATTTGGAGGTCTTAGCTTTAATGATTGCGACATTGAGCCATGATTTGGATCACAGAGGTGTCAACAACTCCTACATCAAAAGGTTTGTGCTTTGGTTTAGTGTGTGAGTGTGTGAGTGTGTGATATTAGCGATGTAAAGATGCGACTGATGCCGTATATTTCCCTGTTTCCACAGAAGTGACCATCCACTGGCCCAGCTCTACTGCCACTCCACCATGGAGCATCACCACTTCGACCAGTGTCTCATGATCCTCAACAGCCCTGTGAGTATACCTGTGTGTGTGTGTGTGTGTGTGTGTGTGTGTGTGTGTGTGTGTGTGTGTGTGTGTGTGTGTGTGTGTGTGTGTGTGTGTGTGTGTGTGTGTGTGTGTGTGTGTGTGTGTGTGCTTTTTTCGGTCAGTACATCTACCTTGGGTTGTTTTGTCGAGTGTATAGTGTAAATGCAGATATCAGAAATGGGTCATTTTTAAAAGAAGATGTGAGCTGGTCATCCAAAAAAACAGATATAGTCAACAAATCAAGACCTGCAGTGCAAATAAGGCCTTAATGTGGTCAGCTTGTTTATAGTCACTTTAAAGATGATGTTTGACTCGAATAAAACCAGTTCAATCTATTCAGACACGCTGCTGTGAACATGTAAGATCTGCATGAATAGACACACACTGGAGTAGATCTGGGCAGGTGGAGCTGGGGAGGGGGAGGGGCTCAAGCGATCTCATTGGCTGCAGGATCAGCAGAGCCAATCAGCTTGTGCCGTGCGGTGATGATGTGATTGCATGTAAAGGACGCCCTCTAGTGTTTCATGACTGAACTATATATATATTTGCAGCACATTTTTAAAATCCTAACAAACACACTGCTTTCAAAACTGTTAGAAACACATTCACAAATTGTGTGCATTTCCACAGCAATTCTATTGACATGTATATAAGAAAAATAATTCTAAAAAAAATTTAATATACATACTTTATATTGACATTTATGTGAAAAATCAGGCATCAATATAAAAGTTCATTATTTATGTAATGGTCCCTGTTGTTCGCATGTTTTAGGGCAGTGTGTGTGACTGTGCAGTGTGTGCATTCTGAGTTTCTTGATTTGTTCAAGATTATTTTGTGTTTTAAGTGAGTTTAGAAGGTAACTCTAATGCAGACTTTATGAAGACTTTTGAAAAGTGACTTCAGTAATGGCCAACGCTCGAACAAAACCTGTAAAAGTCATGCAACTATGATTTCCACATATAATGAAGTGCACTAACCAAGAACTGTAGCGGCCAGAATTACTGACTATAATAGATGCAGACATATTTTAAATAAAACTACAGTGCTGGTCACAGTGTTTACAGACAGATTCAATTATGATTTTGAACATTTCCGTATCAGTAAAACAGGCATTTTAATAATCTACCAGAAATGCTCCAGTGACCCTGAACATTACATAACACACACACAACAGAAGAGGTTGTGTTTAAAGTGTGTTTGCGAACGCCCTGAGTTATCAACAAGTGTAGCGTGTTGTAAACGTGTAAAGCGATCCTGCTAATCGTTTGTGTGCGATGACCTTTGACCTTTGACTCTCCTGCTGATAACTTGCTCATGCTTAGATCTTAAGTATGAAACTTTGGCACACAAGCTCACACCATTTGCTCTACAGATAAGAATGATAACTCAAAACTGTGTGTATGCTTATATATGTACTTATATACCGTCAGATGATAAAACGTGTGGACATTATTTAACCCTCATCCTTCCCTCAGAAGCCCTAAAATTATACTTTTGTACAGAAAGCCTATTTTATTTCGTTTTTAATGCAATTTTTTTGTTATTTTTTTATTGTTTTTACCTTTAAATTACTCGATTTGATTAATAAATAGAATTTTAAGCACATTCCTTACATTCTTTCAACTTAAATCCAAAATAACTCACAATTTCATGCTTAAAATATCTTACATTGGGAGTCTTTGACCTCTTGTGGAAACTAAATAATAACATTTCATAACTCTAGATGTCCTTATAGCTCTATATGGATCAGGAGCTGTTCCGCTGGGTCCTAAAGCCAGTTTATCTTCAGTGTGCATTCAGACACACATGTAGACATTATAATATTTTTTTTTTTGGTAAAGTTTTAGCATTTTTAGTTTGAATTTTGAGCATTTTTAGGTTTCTCCATGTGAACTGAAGCATTCCTTGCATTCCATTCATTCCTAAGGGGGGTAAATTGAGCCGCGAGGGAAGGGTTTGTTACTTTTTTAAATTTCAACCTCAAAACTTCTTAAATCCTTTAAAAAAATAAATGTGTGTATTCATGGTTCAAGTGCGACACAAGTCTTGGGGTCTGATGAACAAGAGAGCAGAATTATTATTTTTTTAATTCAAAAATCTTTTCCAGGTCCATCTTGAAAAATGCATAAATTATCAATTATCGGTGGCTGGCAACTTTAAAAAATAAAGGTTGGCTGAAAAAGAGTTAAAGTGCATATTGTGTGACTTTAAAGGACATAAATAAACCTGCATAGACCGTGTATACACATTCATAATCTAAGTATTTAAGTTGAATTATTCTAACACAAGTATGTTGTATATTTGACCACATTCATCTAGTCTATTTTATAATACCGAAACGCGCACACAGAAGCTTGATCAGACAACGCGACAGGAGCATGTTGAGTTAAGATGCGCA